GCCAAGAAATGTGTGGATGCTTAAATAATGAATTATTAGTGCGAGAAACACCAGCTTAGCGGAAAATACTAATGATTTATTATATAAACATACAAATTTTGCTTTAGTTTTGTGATCTGATGAAGCCTAGAAAGGCGAAACGTGTTTCCAATCTAGTTTCAATTAATCGTTTTTTTTTCATATTCCTTACATACACGTATATATAGTGTGTGTGTGTGTGTGAACTCACTACATTTCCGAAAAAGACATTCTCTTTGTCAGAAGGAACATTATAATTTCAATCTAATCACTATACATGAATTCATCAAAGACTAAAATGTGTCTTCTGTGGTTAAACTTGTATCTAAATACAAATTGTCATCATTGTGACTAAATACACACAATTGATTTGGCTTAGACTATGTACCAAATGTATGAATTAAGATTTCTCAAGGGAATGTAACATTTTTGCACAGAGCGCTTGTGTGGAGTCGTTTATTTTATGCCTCGCGAGCATGCTCAGCGTATAGAAATTCGTAGCCTATTTATGATAAAAATCATAATCGATTGGTTTATCCAGAAAATTTGGGCTAAGGTGAGAACGCCTTGACCGTTATATGAGCCAGAAGGTTTGAAATAAGGAAGCAGTTCCATTTGACTGATGTCAGCGATTTTTTTTATGTTTTATACACAATTTGGAAACAAAAAAAATTTGTTCGATTCTTTAACGATCTTAAGTCGACATTCAAGAAGTAAAACAATTTTTACAGAGCATCTATGTAAATACTGGGCGCGTGGCCAAATGGTTAGAACACTTGTGGAGAAAAAAGCAAAGAAAGAAAATCTTCACAGCTCTAAAAATTTTATATAAATTTTAATATTGAGTTGTTTCTTTTAAAATTGAAAGAAATTAATTACAAAGATCCGCGCGAAACACTCACACAAAAATATTGTTTTTATTCTTTACAACTCAACATTAGTATGATGGAAAAGCATGAATGTCAATTTAACAAAAAAGTTACGTATTTATATTTTTTATGAATGCGTGTAATTTTCCAACCTGTCAAAAATCATCAAACGAGAGCTGAGTTATAACCACTACTAATATTTTTGATATAATTCTGTATGTTTTAACGCGCGCTCAATTTATTTAAAAATTGCGAGAAGTTACTCGATAAACATGTGAAATGGTTTTGTCCTCAGCTGATGACTTACACCTTTCGTATAATTAATTACTCAACAACTATCATTGGTCGAAGTTTTACTGAGAGCTAACTTAACGCAACGAATATTTATAGAAAAAAAATGAATCACGGAAATTGTTAGATTTACTAAACTCAGAAGTTTATTGGTTAATAAATATTTCTCCCTATTTTTAGGAGTAAATATTGATCATTTTCTGGAGTGATTTCTCAAATTTCGTAGCAGACAGCAAACACAGTTGTCTGAAATTTCAAAGCCTTAAGAACGCTTAAAATAACGTTGCTGACTGGTTAATAAATGCAAATGTGTAAATTCTAATATGAAGCCTACTTTTGGCACAAAAATGAATCAGTTGCGATTTTTTGGTGATATTGCTTCAATCTATTCAGTTTTTCTACAATGTTTAATGGGGTTCCACAGGCTCGCTTTCCAATCACGGAATAAATGGTTATATTTGTCAGGAAGCCGGCGGCACCTTTGAAGAGTGTCTGGAAATCTTACCACAGCACGGTTTGACCCGAACCTAACGTGTGTAATTCGGTAGACAAAAGTCACGGTTCTTCGTAACCGAGGCTTTCAGCGTACTGGCACTGTTCAAACAATAGATCAAGTAAGATTATGAGCTTTCTCCCAGAAACTGTAACTAAGATCTGCTGAGTGTAATTGAAGGATAAACCACAATTAGTGTGTGAGCGTTTAACAAACACAAATGTGCCCGAGTAGATGCCTGTAACGGAGATCGGTTAGCCGCCCTCGCAGACTAGTTTGCTCGAAAACAAAAGGTCAGCTATTCATATACTAGGTGTGGGGATATTCAACTGAAAATAACTTGTTTTACTTGTCGCCATCCATCAATGGTCGATGGAAATTGTACTATATTAATGCCAGACGAATAATTTCCTATTTCTGTCTGAATTTTTAGGATGAAGAGTTAACATTCTTTACATTCAAACTAATGTCTTCATCTTTATTAGGTTAGGGCCGTTGTGCTCTCCGGCCTTCCTCATGTTTTTGTCCATCTTGGTAATCTTCATTGAATTTCGAACTGAACTTTTTATTTAATCTACTTGGGTTCAGTTCGAAATCACAAATCGAGAGGTGAAGGCGGCAGGAAGGTTGTGATAAGAACAAAGATGACATTAGTACGAATGTAAATAACACTTCGTGGATAAAAGGTTTCAGTTGTGAATTTGGTGACATAGTAATTTGGAATTCCACCGCTGAGTCCGGAAGTTCTCTGCGGGAACCAAGCAAGGAATAACTGATCAGTACTAAATAGAACAACAGGCGGCATACCAACGCGTGGCCAGAACTATCTTTCCACAAAAATTAAATAAAGTGCTGATACAAAAGACGCTTATACAAATCGACCTAAACCTGAAGGTCATAGGATATAACGCACAAAAAATTGTAATAAAAAATATTACTCACATCGGTCCGACTGTAAATGCTTTTTAATTATTTCACACTAAGCAAAGCAATAAAGTAAGACACTGTCAAAGAATGAGTAAACGAAAAATATTGAGAGAGAACAATAAAAATCAAGTTAAGAAAAAAGATATCTATTGGCATTGCATTTAAATGTTTGAAGATCAAAATTTACTGGAAAGCCAGAAGAGTTTCACAGGCGAGAAGTGCGACAGAAGAAACTGTTAGCATAGAACTTAGTTCTATATAGCCATTTCATATTTAAAATGATAGTTCTAGCTTAATTGTAAAGGCTAGGTACCAAAAAGGAAAGCTCGCTAGATCAATTAAGAAAATACTTGTAGAAAATAGTATATGGAGTCTACATAACATGTCATGTGAGGACCGATAACATTGCAAATTTTTCTTTGCATTTTATCCAGAATCTCCAAATACATAGCAGAAGCAACACACCAGATGTGAGAGAAAGGTTAGATATAAATGCGTAATAGTTTCTGGCGAAATAAAATTCTCTAGCACGACACAAGGAAGCAACTTTCCTAGCAGCAAAGCTATTTAGCCTCAAAGACAGTTTATTCATTTGCAGAAAAGACTGCTTTTCTGTCCATTTTATATTTGAAAGTATTTTTCAAAGGAATAATTTTGGTTAGAAAATGCAGGTGTTTTTAACCGAAGAAAATGTTTGTGTCGAGGCAACCGTCATGTCGAGCTCTGACTCGAGGCACTTTTTTTTTTCTAATATCAGAATGCAGCAGGAGCAGCGGATATTTCAAAACCACATTAAAGTAACAAATGTATATGAAAAATACTTGCAGAAGTGTTAGAAATACGATGCAAATTCAGTTTTATGTGGTGATTTAAAAATAAAAAAATAAATAAAAACCAACACTACTAGCGGAAAGTGGGTTGACCTTATCGTATCCAGAGTTCCAAACCATATCAAAAGTCTGGCAAAATACGCAGAAGTCCCAACAAATCCCATGTTGTGGCATTAGAGTTTAGGCGTCCTTGTTTGAACAAAATCGGGACTTGTCAAGTAGAGAATTACTCACGGTAACCCCTTTTAATAGAAAAGTGTGAAAAGCACTCAGATTAGTAATGAATTTTTTACTCGGTATTCTGAGTGAAAATAACAATCCAATCAGGAAAGGAAAAATAGTAAGTTGGAATCGCAAAGAAGTGGGTAGCATGGAAATCAGGTCGAATAAGGTAGGAGAATTACTCTGGGTAACACTGAATAAAAAATGAAGTCCACAGGTTAATAATGAAAAAGAATAAAATACTCTGAGTAATATTGATGAAAACAACGGTACAATTGGGAGCTTCAAGAGCCAGACACGCAAAGAAGTAGATAAAGTCAGTGCATGAAGTTAGACTGGAAAAGAAGTTGTTTTTTTTTTCCAGTAACAGGTTGATAATGAAATAGAATATTTTTCCTTTGTATTCTCAGTATCCTATATGCTTGTGTAAAATAATACTAATTATTTTAAGCAAGATGTAGCGGGTCGCACTATACACAAGTAATATTTTTGAAGAGATTAAAATCATGCTTTTTCGCTAACAGGTTGCAATATACACAAGTATATTTTTCTGAAGGGGTTAAAATTCACGCAAAAAATTCAGGGGTGGCATTATACATGACATCGTTTTATACATGAGTATATACGGTAATATCTTTGAGAAACGACAATCCAACCAGAAAAGGCTACAGGAGAGGAAAGAAAGTCGGAATCATAAAGAACAAGTGGCACGAAAATCCGGTCGACGTGGTATAATGGTTAGCGAGTTTGTCTCGCTAAAACCATCGCAAGTGAGTAGTGAGTTCGGTCTTGTACCACATTTAAGTGATGCTTAAAAAAATCATTTACCCTCTTGGTTGAGCTCGAACCAGGGTTTCTGCGTACGCCAATGACATCAAGGTGGTACAGAAGACGCTAGAACGGTACAAGGTGACGGGGAGCAAGATTAACCGTAACAAGTTTTCTGGCTTGTTTATTCAAGACGTAGACTCTCTAAACATACAGTGTATCCTCGGTTCTCGAACGTCACACATGTCGAAAAAATCTGTTTTCAAACTGAATATTCGAGATGAAAATGCCTCGGTTATCGAACAAAATTTCGGTTCTCGAACAACATTGCCGAACCGAGTTAACCCGAACGGAATCATTTCTGAGTCAACCGCCGTGTTGTATACATTCGTGTGTTGTGTTGTATTTTTTCAATGTTATTGTACTGTGACTTTTTTTTTCTCTATATTGATTCCTATTGGAAAAATAATTTCGGTTTACGAACGACCTTCAGGAACGAATTAAATTCGTGAACCGAGGTTTCACTGTATTCTATTTCTTTATCAGAGGATTACCATATCTAGAGGCTTACAACTACATCACATTGAACCACCGATTCCCGTACGATCACCTAAGTTAAGCAACGTAGAACTTGGTCGGTACCTAGATGAGAGACCGCTTGAGAATGCTAGGTACTGTAATCGTAGATGTACGAATCTATGATAGCTCGGAATTTTTCATCGGAGAGCCTAGTTTCAATTCCCATTGGGTTCGTTGTATTCATTTACGCACAAATGTTCCTGAGAAAGGTATGAATACCTCGTCTCCCCCCGCTATGGGCTAATTAGTAAAACTTGCATCCCTATATTCTCAAAGATTTTTAAATCTAAAAATATTTCCTGGCTTTAAATACCGCTGAGAAAGGTATGAATACCTCATCTCCCCCAGCTATGGGTTAATTAGTAAAACGTGTATCCCTAAATTATCTCAAAAGTTTTTAAATTCAAAAATATTTCCTGGCTTTAAATAACCCACAAAAAACGAATCAAGCAATCAATCAAAAATTATCACTTAGGAAAGATTGTGGTTTCCCAAGGTCTCCTTCACTTTCATAGCTGGCTTTCTCGTAGTCTGGTTGCCACTCAGTGTTTCTTTTTTTTTTTTTTTTTTTTTTTTTTTTTTAAGATGTCGGCGTATATCGAGCTTCGAAGTCTTTTGATATTCTTTACTTCGGACATGGAACGAACGTGGTCTTTATCACACGATGACATCAAACCGGAAGTGCCAATTTTTACGCGTAAAGCGAATTTGCACGGAGATAAGATTATTGAAATCATGCTAATAATTTCCTTCGGCGTTATGTTAAGCGCGGCAATCAAGAATTGCGACTGAAACAAATTGCAAAGGAAATAGCTAAAAATGAAGATTACCATAATTTTATACCTGGGCAAAACCAGAAATTCTGACACAATCCCATTAGTCATCAATTGGCACCGAAATGTTGCTGGAATTTCGAAAATACTACACGACATCTATGAACACATAGCGCAAAAATATACGCATTTTAAAGAGATTTTTTTCCCAATCCGTCTATTGTATCTTTCAAAAGAAATAAAACATACAAATTTTAACAAATGTAAGCGTCCACACTCAAAACAACATTAGTTATGCTCCCGAAAATACTTGTATAACCGGAAAATCGTTTTCATTGTGCAACAATGTCAAGTTAATTCTAACACAAATTCAAAGAGAAACATCACTATTTTTACTGAGGGTGGTAATTGTATTTTAATATACGCCGCCCAATGTACCAGACATGATTTATGTGGATTGCACAACCTAAAAATTAAATAAGATTCAATGAACACAGGTATTATGTCGAACACAATGTGACATCAACGGAGTTTGCAGAACATTTTATTAATAAAACGACTTAACATCTTAAGGTGCACATTGTGAAAAAAAAATATTCAGAATTTACCGACCTGTCGATCCTTAAAAAGCATGAGAATATTTACGTAAGCAAATTAACTTCCCGGCCTGCGATAATCAATAGAATGACAGGAGAGTTCCATAAGATTTATATATTATATTAATTTCTTTTAGTAACTAACGGAAAATTTAAAGATGAACAATATAATCACCATATTAATGTTTCAGTTACATGCCTTCATGTTGGTGGCGTTTCATTCGTTTTGACGCGTTCATTACTGGGTACAGAAGTGGTTTCATTGATTGGGTCAGTTTTTCAAATTTTCTTTTTTTTTTTTTTTTTTTTTTTTCGAAAGACGGAATACAGCGGCAACTCCCTTTTTTATAGTGGTGGACAGGTCTTCTTAGTAACATCTTTTGGTTTTTTTTTTTTTTTTTTTTTTTTTTTGGCCATCACCCCCACCTCACAATCATTTCATAACATTGATAGAATTTTTATACAATTGTACATATTGAAATTTTAAGTCATGGGGTGTTTTTTCAGTAGGGTCCCTGCGTGTGTGAGATATTTTGATGTATGTCGGAGCGAATGGTGACTGGTAGATTCTTATGGTGAGTGAGCAAATTGTAATGAATGAATGGGTCGTGAATCTGATGAGCCAGGTATAAGATAGTGTCGACCAGCCTTGACCCACCCTTTTTCGGCCTCGTGACACAGTTTACTATCATCACTCAGTAGCAAATCGTAGACAAGCAACGTTTGTACAAAGACTTATTTTTTAGATTTTATTTATTTTTATACTCGAAAAAATAGTTTAAACTTTAACTTAAAGACAGTCATTCTGTTGAAATATTGTCAAACATTGTTTTTTTTCTTTTTTTATCTTATCTTAAATCGCGCTCTTCTTAACTGTTGAAAAATATTGGAAGAGTCTACGTTATTCATTTTGTTTCTTCTTATTATTATTACTTTTACTCCTATTATTAAGTTTTCCACTGTTATATTAGTGTTCTACTTCAATTTAATATTTATTTGTGATCTAACTAATTCCATGGGTTAAAAAAAGATTCCAGTACATTTATGTAACAGTACTGCAATCGACAAAATCAATACAAAAGTGGATCACAGAGTGTTGATATTTCTCTGACTCCTGATTGGTCAATTAATGCCAATATCACTATTTTGTCTACGTCCGCACAGTTAAAATTAATTTACCGACAAAAAATCTGTGTACGTGACATATAACATCATAACTACTGTAACATCTTCTACTCTTTTCTTTCTTTTTGCTTTCTACCACACATACAAGATGTAGCAGTGAAGAAATCGCGTTTGTTCCTTTAAGGGAAAAGGCTATGACACACGTACGTACGATCACTGCACATCTTTGAACTCATCTTGCACCGAATTCCAACCTACAAAACCTTAGCGAAGAACATTTCTTTCACTGAGATTATTTTTCATGAACTGAAATCTTTTATCTGAGTTCAAATAGAAATATTCCCTTTTTTTAAAAGACTTGAAGAATTTCAAATTAAAGGTAAATAATTCCTGCTATATTTTTAATTATAAATGCTACAAAATATTTGTGTTCGGTGATTTTAATGCCTACCATGCCAGGTGGCTTGAACACTCTCTTTGATCTCGCTAGCATCCAAAACCTTAAATTCTCAACCCTGACTCTTCTCGATCTACATACATTTTGTAACAATTTGCATCTCAGTTTAAATTATCCGAGTAAGTTCATTCTTCAGTTTTTGTATATTGTTGATATAAAAATGTTTTTATTCCTAGAAAACATCGTTGTTTTATATTTTGGATTTTGCTTTGTGCCATACCCAAAGTTAAACGTTTCTGGAGAAGTTTATTTTCACGCAGCCAACACAAATAATACCTTCTGATATATAAATATTTTTCCTAATTACCTACTCTTCCGCAAGAATTGTTTCGTTTTATAACTTATTGTTAATGCAGCGCCTATTGAATCCTATTGATTGCTAATAATATGTTTGGATTTCTTACTCGTCACTCTTTTCTTTTTCAATGTTTAAATGTCTCCAATTGAAAGACAATCTCCTGGGACATAGGATGTGAATTCCACTCTCGTTTAAAGATTCTTTATTCCTTCTTCACGCTACATAATTCAGCTGTAATAAGATAATTAACCTAAACAAAGTAATCAATAGAAAAAAAAGCAATCAGATAAAGGTTCGAGCTAAAATTTAATAGCGAAACTGTTTCATCTCTGACATCAAATAATTTAAATCTCCATTTTTTTTTGTTTCTTGAGTATCTATGCCAGTTTCTCAATACTTTCCCATCAAAAGGTGTCTCATGACTCGTGGTAATCTCGTTAAAAGAATAAATGAGACTGAACGTCTATTAAGACTTTTTTTTTTTTTTTACTTCTATTGTTAGTTAACTGTTCCATAGCGCAAATATTTGAGGAGCTTAAAATGTTCTAAGAATGAACAATAATGGAGAAATATATATATATATATATATATATATATTGAACAATAAAAAATATTAAATTAAAATCTTCAGACACATTGGGGTGTAGATTAATATTCTTTCGTTTTTATTATTATTTATTTTAGATTCTTCGACTAGTCTCGGCCAAAATGGCCATCATCAGAAGAAATATTTCTGCGTGCTGGTAGCAGTGAATTTATATATATATATATATATATATATATATATAATGAAATGGACAAAGTCCGACAATTATTTCAAGACATTTTTATGTTTATACATTCTTTTTAAAGATACAAATATTTAAGTAAATACTCTGTTTATAATAAACAGTATTAAACAACATTTACCGACCTTAATGTCCGAGAAATTTTCACAGAAATTTAGAGGACGAATATTTTCTGTCTACAAATATATTTGTGTTCAGTGATTTTAATGCCTACCATGCCAGGTTGCTTGAACACTCTGTCACTGATCTCGCTAGCATCCAAACCCTTAAATTCTCAACCCTGACTCTTCTCGATCTCTTTTTTTTTTAATCTCTATCCCTGATTCTTGTACTACGCAGCTCTGACCTCTTGGCAACTCCGATCATTCGATAGCGTTTGTAAACATCTTCTTCCGCTCCTAATAACAGAATATCATTCTGTTATCAACGAGCAGATTGGGACTCGTTCCGTGATTTCTTTCATGACGTCCCTTACAATGAAGTTTTTAATAATGCTGTTCAAAAATCCGTGTCTGAGGTCTCCACCTGGGTGGAATCCGGTGTCGACCCTTTTATTCCGTTAATGAAATATCAAGTTAAAGTGTGTTCATCTCTTTGGTTCTCACCTGGATACTCGGTCGCTATAGCCCACAGGAATCACTACTTCCGGCTGTACCAAAGTGATACGTCTGGTTGCAACAGACGTCTCTGTATCTGCGCGTGAAAGTGAAAGCGTGTCTTTAATTAAGTTTGGATGTCCTCTGTAGTTCCTGTTTTTAAGAACTCTGGAGAATCTTCTGACCCTTCTATTATAGACTTAATAGTCCTCTACTGCTTTTCGGCAAAGTATTCAAGGCTTTAATAAATGCTGAAGTGATTAATCATCTTACCTCTCACGACCTACTCTCTGACAAAAAAATATCGATTCCGTTTTGTCCGGTCTATCACTGACGTGCTTACGGCCATCACTGAAGAAGAAAAAAAAAATATATATATATATAGCGTTTGATATTAACGGCGAAGCTTGAGCTACATCTCTATATATCTCAATGGCGTTTGACAGGGTTTGTCATGCTTTCTACGTAA